TTTTGGATTATCATTATCATTCTGGTGAGATTAAAGACAAGGGCTGGTTCAAATGTCGTCTCTCAGTAGAGAGCTGGTTTTCCTCATCTTACAGTTCTTGGATGAAGAAAAATTTAAAGAGACAGTTCACAAGTAAGTTTTTATGATTGTAGTACATGTGTGTGTGTGTGTGTGTGTGTGTGTGTGTGTGTGTGTGTGTGTGTGTGTCATTATATGTGTTTGCTTTGCCCAATTTTTTTTTTTTAATTGTCTATTTCTGGGGAGTATTTATGTAATAAATAATAATTAATGTGTTTATATCACTTTTCATTAATGGGTTCATTTCTAATAATAGGCTTGAACAAGAATCTGGGTTCTTCTTTAACATGAAGTATTTTGAGGATGAAGTTCACAATGGTAACTGGGATGAGGTGGAGAGGTACCTCTCCGGTTTCACTAAGGTGGACGATAATCGTTACTCGATGAAGATCTTTTTCGAAATCAGGAAACAGAAGTATCTTGAGGCATTGGATAAGTGAGATTATTATTACTATGTCTTAATATGAAAAAAATCTTAATTGTTTTGAGAAATGGATATCGATCTTTTTAACTTAAAATGCAGGCATGATCGGTCGAAAGCCGTGGAGATCCTTGTGAAGGATCTTAAAGTGTTTGCTTCGTTTAACGAGGAGCTTTTCAAGGAGATAACTCAGCTGCTGACATTAGAGAATTTCAGGTATATTCTTATTATGATTTCTATTTAGTTATCTACCAATGTGGTAGAAGAACGGGCAAACCTTCTTGAGCTGGCCTCGATTTTTTTATTAGGGAGAATGAGCAGTTATCGAAATATGGAGACACTAAATCCGCAAGAGCTATCATGCTTGTCGAGCTTAAGAAGCTAATCGAGGCTAATCCTCTGTTTCGCGACAAGTTACAGTTTCCGAACCTCAAGAATTCAAGACTGCGAACTCTCATCAACCAAAGGTGGATTTCAAACACTTAATTTTGTGTGTAAAGTCATCGTTTTTTGTATGTTATGAAGAGCACTTTGAGACAATGATTTGCACAGCTTAAATTGGCAGCACCAACTTTGTAAAAATCCAAGGTCGAACCCGGATATCAAAACCCTCTTCGTGGATCACTCTTGCGGGCAGCAAAATGGTGCGCGTGCACCATCACCGGCGAATAATCCCCTGCTTGGCGGGCCCATGCCAAAACCCGGTGGATTTCCTCCTTTGGGTGCACATGTGGTTAGTTTTAAGGATGTTCATTGATTTTTGTGTTTAGAGTTAATTTATTTGGCTTACTGTAAGTTGTAAAAAAATGATGCAATATCAGCCGTTCCAGCCTAATCCGGCTCCTGTCCCGACACCTCTTGCCGGTTGGATGTCTAATCCGCCCACCGGAACTCATCCAGCGGTTTCTGGTGGGCCTATTGGGCTCGGAGGCCCACCAATTCCAGGTAGAAAATTGCATAGGAGGAAAATTTGGTGACTTTTGTGATGAAAATAGGTACATGATTTAAAAAAGTATAAATTGAGTTTCAATTTATTGCATTGTGTGTAGGTGCGCTCAAGCACCCAAGAACACCACCGACAAATCCGATTGAATTCTCATCTGTTGACTCTGAAAATGCAATCAAACGAACGAGACAATTGGGAATTTCTGATGAGGTGTTAGATTTTTCTTTCTAATGTTCTTTTTTTTTTTATGGTTGATATTACTTTTTCATGTTGTGATCTTTTAGATATTTGTATACTTATTGTAATAAGCAGGTAAATCTTCCGGTGAATGTTCTTCCGGTGTCTTTCCCAGGGCACTCCCATAGTCAGCCTCCTTTCAACGCGCCAGATGACTTGCCTAAGACAGTTGCGCGCACTTTGAACCAAGGCTCATCTCCTATGAGCATGGATTTTCACCCCATTCAACAAACTCTACTTCTCGGTTAGTTCTAAATCCAGATAAATTTATATTCTGTTAGCACTTTCTTGTAAAGTTTGGCCATTTTAATGGGCTTTTGCCTTTTTGCCTTTTTTGTTGTCTTTGTAATAACATGATAACTCTCAGTCGGGACCAATGTGGGAGATATTGGGTTGTGGGAAGTCGGTTCGAGAGAGAGGCTCGTCTTGAGAAATTTCAAAGTATGGGATGTGAGTGCTTGCACGTTGCCTCTACAGGTGCCCGCTTATGAATTTCATAAAAAACTACTTTATCTTGTTGTGATTATTCAGCTGAATGTAAAACAAAATAAATAAATAAATAAATAATCTTTACTTACTCCAGGCCAGCCTGGCAAAAGATCCTGGCGTCTCTGTCAACCGCGTGATTTGGAGCCCGGACGGGTCTTTATTTGGTAAAAATGGGGGCTTCATTTCAAGACAGTTTATTTTTTGTGGTGGATGTGAAAGTGGTTTGATTTTTGAGTGATGTTTCGATCTTTCTCTTTAAATAGGAGTTGCATATTCAAGGCATCTCGTGCAGATCTATTCTTATCATGGGAATGATGAAATGCGCCAGCACTTGGAGGTGCATGCATTATCCATTCTGTCGTGTTTATTGAAATGAAGTTTAGTTTCTAATATTCTTTTACCGTATTTTACTGATTTGCTGACTAGTGTTGTTGTTGTTGTTTTTTTTTTTTTTTTTTTTTTTTTTT